GGGACAACAGTCAGATCATTCACTTACTGCATAAGAGCCACTGCAGTAGTTGAAAAAGTGAGGTAAAAATATCCCTCTGTTCCTGATCTTTTCTCAGCCTACTGTGCCGGCCTACAGCACAGCTGGACGTTGTACTGAACTCCCTAAATACTCTGAGCACAGTGCCAGTTTGGCTGCCAGCTAACATCTGGGCCATGGGAAAAGGGCAGGGAACAAGCAGCAGGTCTCCAAATTCCCATCCTGCCTCCTGTCTCTCACAATCTGGCATGCAAAGGACCTTTCCCTCTCCCTGCAACCTTTCCCACAGTAAGAGCAGGCTCTTTACAGCCACCACCTCTGTCCCTTTCATATCACTCAGGCTGGGAAGAGGTCAAGTGCTGATGGGGATTAACTGAGATTTGGGATTGTGGAGGCATCTGATTCAAGAGCAGACTCCTGGGGCCCTCCTCATCTTCTCTCTCACCAGTGAGATGGAGAAGTGGAGACTGCTGTCTCTTGGACGGATCACAAACAATTAGATTTAGAGGATGGTGAGGGAGGATCTGAAGGGTGTTGTAGCCAGCAGCTGGAAAGGAGGGCCTCTCAGGGCACTTAGAAGGGTCAAAACAGGTTCCCAGTGCACCTTAGGGAAGGTTCAGGCTATCCGATGTGAAATCTCAAGGCCTTGCTATGATTACTGACATTGTATGAGCTAGGGATCTTGATTTTTGGGAGTCGAGGAGCCACAGATTCAGACCTTCTTGGTACTTTCAAAATATTTTAGCTCATGTAACTACTGTATTTATTTTGCCATTAAAAACCCAAATCATGCTTGTCATTACAAAGCTGGAAATGTGAGGTCTCCACGGAGATGTATAATTACTCATTGTTGAAGACGTGATGGGCCCATCAAATCCCAGGCACTGCTAGGTGGATTGCATAAGACAAATGCACATCCAGATTACACAGAAAAGAGTGGCAAAAGAGTAACAGCCTGTGACTGTAAAATAAAACTCTTTTTTGGTTTTTTTTTTAAATTACATGGGGCTTTGCTCTAATTGTAGGACATGTGGGGCTGCCACAGTTGGAGTCTCTGGAACTGTCAATGGAGACCTATTTTTGGGAATTAATTAACTCTCCTCCCAGTGTAAGTGCTACAGGACTCTGCGGTGTTTTGCTCTCTCAAAAATCAAACTCTCCAGCATTTCCTACTGCTGCTTCATTTTTGATACACTCCTTTTTTTTTACATTCCTGTCTTCCAGGATGGAGCCAGATCAATTTAGGAAACATAGACGGGGTTTTTGTAGCACTAGAGAAGTGCCTGGAGAAATATGCCAAAGGCATATTTTGGACCCCCAAAATGTCCCAGTAGTATCACAGTTTCCCATCAAGTTGAAGGAATTGATGAACTCTCTTGGAAATGTAAGGCCTGGTTCTTCTTTTGCTCCAAGGTAAAACAGAAACGGATGTATTGCATTGACCCCAGGTATGGTACTACGTGTGTGAACTTTGCACAGGGGAAACACTTTACTTTGTGTCCTCTAGCACCAGAGCAAAATCTCCACGACAGAAAAGACATGATGTTTTATTTACTGCTCCCTATCTCCATGGTAAAAATGTTGCAGCTATTCTGTTATGGATCAAGCATGAAGTGTGCAGTGATTTTCAGTGACCAAACGTCAACTGCATGCAAGTAATTCTCCTGCCTAGAATGGTTAATTTGACCAGGAGAACTGCTCACGGGCAAGTGGTTCAGACAAACACTGTCTCACCTGAGCAAGCGTTTGGGGCTTCAGGGTGCCAATTCTTGTCTTGGGGCATGGTGTGGCAGGAGTCAATTCCAAAGCAAAGCAAGTAAATATATTTCTCTCTGTCTTTGTGTCTAGGGTCAACAAACATGCACTGAAAAGCTCAGAAGTGTTTCCTCCCCATACCCTGCCAAAAGCTGTACAGGGCCATGCCCAGGGGTATGTCTGGCTATGCCCTCCTGTGGAGTTGTTGGAGCTGCAATGCCGTAGGCCCTAAGGGCCACGGTGAGCCTGCCTGTGCTGTCAGCCCTCTGGGTTCCAGTGTGGTCAGACCTCTTTCCCCACGGGAAGGAGACTCCCTGTTCCTCACTAAGACAACATGTATGCGACTTCCCTCCCACACTTCAGCAGCGACTGTGTGCAGCGCCAGAGGGACACCCGAGCCCAGTCCCTGCTGACAGCCATGTGTGAGGCTGTGAAGGGCTGGCAGAGCACGAGGCGACAGCTCAGGGTGACTTTGAGGAGCCACTCTTCACCCTGCCGAGCTGCTGAGGCAGCTGTGGGGAGGGTGGCAGGAGCAGGAGGGTGTGTCAGCGCGGGATCGTGGCACTGACCCCTCATCTGCGCAGGGCAGAGCCACTGCACCTGACGGCTCCAGCGGGAAGGATAGCTCCCGTTCAGGCCCAGTGCCAGGGACTCTGCCTGTCCCACACGTGTGGCCCTGTCTGCCTTGCTGACAGCAGCCACGGGGCCTGACACGGGAGCCAGGAAATGGCTGGAGACACACACACATGAGCATCTGTGGTGTTGCTGCAATTGTCTGAGGATACGGAGGGAATGCAGGGAGGGGCAAGATCTTTTATGACACTCACTGGCACAGATGGAATAAGTGTGTCCCCATCACTGACCAGACCTAGGTCCTCTTTTAGGAAAATGGTTTGAGCAGTTAAACTCCACAGCAGAGAGAAGTTAGAAAAACTGCTAGAGCAAGGGGAATATATGTGCAGTTGAGACAGCAAGCCATCCTGTGGGAAACTGCTTCCAGCCTTGGGGAATTCCTTCCAGACCACAGACAGCTCAGGCTCCTGGAACAGATCTCCCTCCCTGATGTCTCCTGCTCCACATCTCCACAGGGAGACACCCACAGGCCTCCCTCCCATGCCTCTTCCCCAAAGGTGTCATCCACGAGTGCCAGGCACTGCATTTGTCGGCGTGCCTGGCTAGTGGTCCTGCCCTGTGCTTGTCCCTCTGTAAATCCAGAGAGTGGGGGGAGAGACAATAATGCAAAAATGTGACAAGGGCAAACATAAGACTCTCAGAGTTACAAGAGCTGTGCTTCCCTCCCTGGTGAGTCTAGGAAGCAGTCTGCGTTTGAACCGGATTATGCAGGAATACATGGGGGCTTTCAGAGATGTCCCACATAGAAACACACATGTCATAAGAACATATATAGGTGCTGGGTGAGTGGAAACTTGAATCCTGGAGAGTCCTTCCAGTCCATGTCTGCCTGCCTCTGCAAGGAGTTTGGTTCTTATGGGGATGCACGGGTAGATGGATGTAAACAACTGATTGATTCATTCTTTCCCCTCACCCTGACCTGCTCCCAGAAGATGCCAAAGGGAAATTTCATATTTGCTGAACCCATAACCTTTCACAAAGCCTGACAGTAGTTCCCAACTGGGATGAAGGCTATTAGGAGGACTCCCTCCCAGACGGGGTCCCACTGGACTCACCAGATCCTTGGAGGTGCCAAGCCTTGTCAAGCCATCCAGGGGCAGCAGATCAGCAGAGTCTTTGTGCACAAACTGGGTGGCCTGTTTAAGGCGTCTCTTCTGTTGCAGAATAGCTTTGTTTCTCAGCTCCATCTCACACTCCTGTCGCTCCAGGTCAGAAGTACCCTCACTCTGCTTGTCTTCCTGGTCTCCTTGCCCCAGTGGCAGGGGACAGCTCTTCCTTGTGCTCATGGTTAAGATTCAGACAGAACAAGTCCTTCTTGGTACGCTGGAGTGTTCCCTGAACTCGTCTCCCGGTGTTTGCCCTCTGGAGGCTGACTCAGTCTCGGATCTCCTTTCCCTTTCCCTTCCTCACAGCTCTCCTTCTCTTCCTTTCGCTGCCTTTCTGCCTGCTCTCTTAGTTATAACTCACCCACCTCTGAAGTGTCTCCGCGCCCGTTTCTCTCTCTTCCCTCTCCACTCCCCCGTGTCCCTCCGCTCTCCACCTTTTCCTCTCCCTCACTCCTCCTGCCCTGACTGCAGCTCAGCCTCCTCCTCCAGCCCGCGGGTCCTTGTCGTAACAGAAAAAGACGCGCGTCAGAAAGCGATTTCCATAAATCACAGCAGAGCCGGCGAGATGCTCCGGCTGGAAAAATCCAGCAGCAGGAGGATGGCCCCGGTGCTGGGGGCTGTCCTTCCCCCGCTGCGCGCACGCCCCGCGCCGGTGCCAGTGCGTGTGTGCCCGTCCGTGCCCGCTGACGTGTC